CTAAAGTAGCTAACATCTTTCAACACTTTCATTATCGTCACCATATCAACCGTTATCTGTCCACTGCTGAACTTAGACCTCCTGTATAGACTACAAAGAATGGTCCCGAGCCACCTGCATCCACTGACACCCTTTATACATTCAAGACTTTGTCCCATATACATAAATCATCCGGTAACGACCATCACAGCGCATTAAGATCTGTTAGTTCTAATACATTATATACAAAACGAGCGACAGTAAACAAACTTGACCCAAATATTGAGGACAAAGAACTGTTATTGTAGTATTAAAAGCAATAGGGGTTTTAGTGGTCTTTATCGAGGGATAAAGCAGCATCATTAGATGGTTCGCCTCTCTATGGTGCCTCGTAATATTTTTATGTTCAGGACATTAAATATGGTATTGAGTGCTCACAGCGCCTTCAGCTATTTGGTATAGGAGTAATAGGCGTGATAATGCAACAAGTCTATCTCTGTTGCGAATAGAAATGTCTTGTCTCTGATATTTTATGGGCTGTTTGATGTAATATGGTATATTAAAATGGATTTGATTAATTTTGTTTTTTATTTTTTTTTTTATTCGATTTATTTTACAGCGAACACTAATTATTAATTAGAGATAGTTTTTTTTTTAAATGAATGATGATGGAATGGTAACCCCGTCTGCGCTATCGGTATACACTGGCAGGGCACCAGTGAGGGATAGGTGAGAATGAAAAGGCAGGTCAATTAGTCCATCGTGATGAATTCACTTGGAATAGAACATGATGGTTTAGTAACCAGGGAGAACCGCGAGGTGGTCGACTTGACAGGGTGTGTTGCTAGCAATGGGACTATTAACCCCCATGTTTAATAATCCGTTCTCTTTGCAGAGATAACAGACAATATATACTAAATTGAGTCACCCACCTTTTCCGTATTTCCTGTATTTTATAAAACATGCAACGCGAAAGTCTAAAAGTTACTTTAAGTTAAAATTGATAGCGTATTTTGGGATTAACTCGAAGATTTGAGTCCTTATCAATATTTTATTATAAATATGTAAAAATAAGTTTGTTCATGATCCCTTGGCGTCTATATATATATATATATATATATATATATATATATATATATATATATATATATATATATATATATATATATATATATATATATATATATATATATATATACATATACACAGTATACCAAACGTTATAAAATTTGGAATACCACGTGGTCATATGAAATGAAGGAAGATGTAGTCTACTTTTTATTCCGTCGATGAATTTAAGGTCGAGTAATATACAAAAGCATAATCATCATTATATCCGCCTGCCAAGTGTGGCAACTACTGGTTGCCAGTAGTTGCCACACTTGGCAGGCGGATTGGCAATCGCAGTTAGGCTTTATAGATGTTTTTAGAGGGACGCTGCTGCCCATCCTTCGTCCTCCCTTAGTGGACTCTTACGACACTCACGGAAAAGAAGGGGGGGGGGGCTTTTCTATGCCGGGACCACACGGCAAGTATAGTATTAATTATATACTAAAGTATATTAATTAATACTTTAGTATATAATTAATACTGTACTTAAAACTCGACCAAATATCAAACAATTTTATGTAAATCCTATAAACACTTTTTTTATACAATTTAGAATGGCAAACAAGCTGACTGCTCACCTGATGGAAAGTGGTAATCGTCGCCTATAGACATGAACAATACCATGGACATAACAGAGTATACTGTTTCGCCCATGATACCCCCCATGCGTTGCCATTCCTGAGGGCTCAGGTGTTATTCCTCTGTACCCTGTAAATTCACGCCATATCCCATCCTTCAAACCGAAACACAGCCATGCAAACACAACTGCTTCATGATTGAAACATGAATGGGGCAGAGGTACCTAAGCAAACGACTTTTGTATAAAGTCTCCCTGTGGTGAACACTTAAAATATTTCCCTTAATAGTTTATTAAGTAATAAATTAAGACTATTATACTTAACAATTTCATATACAAGTTCTTTTCACAACTATTTTGTGTTGTTTTAATAAGTTTATAAGAGGCCAGTTAGGGAGCCACTGCCGATTTGATAATGAAGTGCGTCAGAAACTTGGCCCATTAAGGAATAGTTGTAACCGACCCCGGGGCTCCTGGATTCTCTACTAGCTCGGCATCTTTACTTGCATACTTTAAGTCGGGACTCCGAGATTGTTTTTGTATCTCTATAGAAGAAATAAGAATATTTTACTGCCACGTATCTTTTTAGAATAGAATAGCACATTTATTGCCATACAATTACAATATAAAATATAAATAACATATACAAAAAGTGTCCCATACTCGGCAAAAGGAACCGGCTCAGCTGATGCTGTGAGTGTCCCAGCGCAATGTGAACAGCTGCACAGCGCTGGTTTTCAGCCAGTTTTTAAATTTATACCACTTTAGTTCTACAAAAAAAAAATCGAGATCCTTTTTCAATCATTATCGTCATATTAGCCTTTAACCATCCAATGCTGAACATAAGCCTCCCCCTTAGGGGGTTTTGCTAGTAGTTGCCATAATTGGCAGGCAGATTGGCAACCGCAGTTAGGCTTTTAGAGATGTTTTAAGAGGGACGCTGCTGCCAATCCCTCACCCTCTTTAGACGCCTCATACGACATCTACGGGAAAGGTAGGCGCGGCCCATTCTATGCCGGGGCACACGGCAATTAAGTGAATTAATAACTAGAATTATTTAGTCACATTTATAGTAGTGGATAACCGGTCTAGATATTATGGGATTGACATGTTAAAAACAAGAGGACCAGAGGGAGACATTGTGCAAAAGTCGATTGCTTGGGTACCTCTGTCCTTTTCGTATTTCTACCGTGAAGCAGTTTTGTTTGGCTGTATTTCAGTTTGAAGGGTGGGATATGGCTTAAATTTACAGGGTAACGAGGAATAACACCTGAGTCCTCAGGAATGGTAACGCATGGGGGGTATCATGGGCGAAACAGTACACTCTGTTATGTCCATGGTACTGCTCGTGTCTATAGGCGACGGTTACCACTTTCGATCAGGTGGGCCGTCAGCTTGTTTGCCATTCTAAGTTACATAAAAAAATCCCCAATTAAACGCAAACGAATAGAAGTCTATTTGCCAAAACAAAAGTTCAATTGTAAGATAAATTTCAGCGTAGTCGTATAAGAGCCACAAAACATTTTCATATCAACAAGAGCCAGTTTAAAAATACCCCCAGCAGACTTGGCACAAAGCTATGTGTTTAAGCACTTACGCCTTTGAATTATACAACAAAGCGGCAACACCCGTTGCTGCCTAAATAAAATTTTTAACAATGAATATCATACACGGCGGGGGGCGTGCGTCGTGCGTCGTGCACCCTCGGGCACCTGAGTTCCGAGACAATTCCCCGTTGAACATCAAAAGCTCTCTAGATGCGTGTAGTTGAATGCTTTCTCTACCTTGATTGTAATCGCCTAGAGCGCCAACATTGAAAGTAATGTTTACTTTTAACAGTATAATGTATCTTTTAATATATACTTGTAGATTGTCTGAATATTTGGTTTCGTGACTCTCCCCAACTTAGTTTTCTAACTTTTCCACCGACTCTAAGTTCTCAATTCTCTCCAAGAGTGCAAGAGTGCAAAAACAAACAAAAAAATGTAACGTATTAAAACTAGAAAGTCATGAGCAATAATTAGTGTTTGTACTTTTGAAAGGGATTTTACAAAAAACGGCATAAAAAAGCTAAAAAAAATAATTTTCTACTTTTTTTTCTAAACTCTTGGACTTTGTAACCATCATAATACCTATATATAATAATGAATTCATAGCGTGGTAAGATCTATAAAGAGAAAATTACCTACTGAAATACGAGAAAAACATTATAATGCGTTATACATATTTTTTTATTGTGAATAAAGAATCGAATGGCGTTGACAGTTACCGCCACAAATCACATTTGTCCATTAAATCATAGCCATGGACCATAGACAATTCTACATATTTTACTTCAATCGACTTCTCAGCAGTTTTATTATTCAAATTTTCTTGGAATACTAAAACAAAGAACGAAAGGTCGTTCCTTTTTTAAAGTTGAAAAAGAAACTTTTATTTTAAATCGTTAAGTACTGAATGTATATTTCGATTCTCTCAAAAAATACGAAATGAAATGAATTAAACATTTATTTAACATATTATTTATTGAAAGGAAATTTTGCGTGGCTATTGGATATTTTGCGATAAACATGATAGAAAGAAATAAGGAATTACTCGTAGATATTTGTCAGATAACAGTTTGAAAGAAAAACGTTTTGGTATGTGCAATAGGAATTGTTTTAAATATCTTTTTAGTGTCCGTTTTGTGCTAGTAAAATAAATATTAAGGGCTGATATGTTGATGATGATGATGAATACTTAGGGAAATATTCTCGGGGAAAATGGAGAAACTTAGGTTTTCCAATTTTTTTAGACAGTGAAAAATTTATGATGAAATGATAGTTTCTAGTTCTAGTGTAAGCTTTATGTATACTTATGCAATATCTTCGTCAATTATGAACTGAATTTAAAAATTGATTCTTTTTTCCAGGCTTATACATTTAGTTCCAAAAAGCGGGATTTTTGAAACCATATCTTGGATATGTATACCAGAGAGAGACTTTGTACAAAAGTCGTTTGCTTGAGCATCTCTGTCCTATTCGTGTTTCTATCATAAGGCAGTTGTGTTTGCATGGCTATGGTCATGTGTGTCGGTTTGAAGGGTGGGATATGGCAGTGAATTTACAGGATACAGAGGAATGACACCTGAGTCCTCAGGAATGGCACCGCATGAGGGGTATCATGGACGAAACAGTATATTCTGTTATGTCCATGATACTACTCATGTCTATAGGCGACGGTTACCACTTTCCATCAGGTGGGCCGTCAGCTAGTTTGCCATTTTAAGTTGCATAAAAATAAAAAATTGCATTTCGTGTGTTAGCATTTATTTCGAGTTTATATGTAAGAACAGTGTCGTTTATTGCAGAACACGGATGTAAGGAGTTCAGGTGTAAGCAGCGCGAATTCTGCGTGAGCGCAGACTTGACGTGCGATGGCGTCGACCACTGCGCCGATGGATCTGATGAGGACACCGCCTCGCTCTGTCCCGGTACGTTATACACGTATCTGATATTTTCTGGATGTAGATTGAATGATACTCCAGCTTATAACATAACGTCTTAGTCCTCAGGACAACATATGGGGGGTATCATGGGCGACACAACATACTCTGTTACGTCCATGGTACTGCACATGTCTATAGGCAACGGTTACCACTTTTCATCAGAGGGGCCTTCAGCTTGTTTGCCGTTCTAAGGTGCATAAAAAAACGACAACGGTCGGGCACCTGTAAAGGATAAAACCGTAAGGATGAAATCAGGTTAGTTGACCTATCGTGGCCAATTTATTATTAATTAACCACGACGACTCTGTATGGATTCCAGAAGGGATTCCGCGGAGGTCTACCTGACAGGACATATTGCTGTCAATAGTGATTAAAATTCTCCGTCGTATATGATGGTAGATTGGTAAGATTTTTACTGAACACCTTAATCTTTGGTGTAAAACTTTAATATGACCCACAAAAAAACACAATGTATGTACATTTGTATTTGAATGATACAAAATAAACTAAAAGTCTTCCGGTCTGAAAGATAAACCGCATCATAATCAACTTGTGCAGACTCAGGAACAATTGGCTTAACACTTTAGTCCTAAGGACCGGCATTGTCTCTGGGATACCATGAATAGTAAATTCTGTGTGGTGAACAGCGTTGCTTATATGTATAGATTATTTCATTCCTTCATTTTATCCTTAGTATGTTATCATAAACATTTGCACGCCGACTTAGTAGCAAAATATATATGGAAAATGTCACCTCTGTCATCTAAAATTACTTACATTCTAGCAAAATAAATTCATTTCATTTCATTTATCAATCCCACTTGTGTTCAATATCTAAATTGTTATAATTGGTTAACATTTGAATTCTAACCTCGATTTACTGGGGGAAGGGATTGTTAGTAACGCGAACTACCACTCCCATTGCTAGCAATAAGCCCTGTCAGATCGCCCTCTTCGTGATCCCGCCTGGAAACCATCGTGTTGATTTCCAGGTGCCTTTATCGCGATAGGCTAACTGATCTGCCTTTTCATTCTCACCTATCATTCCTAACGGGTGCCCTACCAGCGTACACCGATAGTACAGGCGGAGTTACTATTTCATTGTCATCCGTAAAAAAACATCTCAATTTACTTTCTGTGCGACTTGAAGTACAAATTGTTTTTGTGGTACAGACAGCGGCGGGGCGGGCGCCAACGGCGCGTGGTTGGTGATAGGCGCCGGTTGCGCGGCGCTGGCAGCGCTGGCGGCCGCCGTCGTGCTCTGCTGTATGTGTCGCCGACGCGCTGTCTCGCAGCGCACACATTTACACTGTACGCATATTGATCTACTAACATATTTTTAATCTCTGTGTTCTACCGTATGTATAACGGATTTTGTTCTAAGGAATTGTTTGAAATGATGCCCACAGCCACCTTTTATCATCGCACCGCTCGCCATCGACAGGGATTTCATCTCACACGCTTGAACCTAAATGGTCACGTACAGTGTGGTTTCAAAGGATTTTTTCCCGTGAATGCTCATGCTGTGGAAGACTACAGTATGAGGTTCTTCAAAAAGGGTATATTTTTGAAGAATCCCATACTATACTACTAACCCCATTAAAGGTTTCTTCAGGGTCAATAACGCGACCGTGACAGTTTTAGTATTGCAATCGTCCATAGGTTACAGTAATCGTTTACCATCCGACGGGGTGTATGCTTGTTTGCCACATTCGTAGTATAAAGCAAAATTCTCATCAGCATTTCACATTTTTCACTATTGAAAATCCCATAATAATGAAATAACTCCGAGAATTCATGTTTTATTTTTTATATAACTGAGGTGGCAAACAAGCATACGGCCCATCCGATGGTAAGTGGTTACCGTAGCCTATGAACACTTGAAATACCAGAGGTATTACGCGTGCGTTGCCGACCCTGAAGAAACCTTTTTACCCCCCTTTTGAAGAACCCATGCTGGAGTCTTTTGGGAAAACCTCGGCAAGGAGCTCATTCCACAACCTGAATGTTCGTGGGAGGAAACACCTCTGAAACCGCGCAGTACGCGACCATTGAGGCTGTAGGACATGAGGATGTCCCTGTCGATGGCGAGCCGTACGATGGTAGAAAGTGGCTGTGGATATTCCTATGGCTATTCCTCTATACCCTGTAAATTTACTACCATATCCCGCACTATTTAATCATTATTTTGATTAAGCGTAAAACCGAAGCGCTTGACGCCGCTGTCGTTGTGTTTTCAGTGCAACAAATGGCGAGCAGCAACGGCGCCGGAGCCGGCGGCGGCGGCGGCGGCGGCGGCGGCGGCAAGCCGGCCACCTCGCCTAGCGGCAGCACGCGGCTGCCGGGAAACTGGGCGCTCCCTGCGGGCCCGCGCGGGTACAGTGCGGCGCGTCCGGGCCGCCTCCGGGCGCGGGCGCAGCGCTGAGCGCCGCCCCGCACAAGGACGAGTGGTTCGTCTGAGGCGGCCCGGCCGGGCCCGCAGGTACGCACGCTCGCCCATACATGTATATGCACTGCGCTGTGTGAATAATGCACCAACGCCGAGAGTGTAATGTAAAATAATCCTTAAGGTCCAGCCAGATTAGAATGAAATTTCCTTTGGTATATAAATTTGGTCTTCTTTTCATTTAACAGTTTCCTCTTGTCAGTGCAACTAATTCATGCATCTTCCTCCAGCTAGCTCTATCCCAGGCCATATCCTTGATCTCCCTATACGACATGACACCTAGTGTTCCCTTTATCTGTCCCATGTAGTTATTCCTCGGTCTTCCTCTTCCTCTTTTGCCCTCTATTTTTCCTTCTACTATGCTCTTAAAAAAATCGTCATGTCGTATAAGGTGGCCCAGCATTTTGTCTCTTTTTCTATATTTCTTCTATAAATTTGGTATATAAATAAAAATTAGATCTATAAGTATGCTCGTTTACCACTTTCGTGGTATAGTCGTGGTAAAAAAATCATCAACATTATTTCAGCCATTATCCGTCCACTGCTGGACATAGGTCTCCCCCATAGACCGCCATAAGGAACGGTCCTGAGCCTACTGCATCCATTGACTCCTTATAATACATTTGAGGTCGTCTCTCCATCTAGTGGGGAGTCATCCTACACTGAGTTTGCCCGTATATATATATATATATATATATTCCAATCAGAACATTATTTACTAATGTTAAAGGCATTTTCTTTGCTTTTTTTATATTGGGCTTTTGACTTGGAGAGAGCATTATTGCCAATATAAAAATTAGATTTTCCGCCATTTTATTTAAACTGGTCAATGAATGAAAAAGTAATCTCGTCTAACTATATACGAAATGTGGCTAGAGTGTAGTGTGAATTGGTTGTTGCAGGGCGGGGGCGCCGTACCGGCCCCCGGCGGCTGCCGCGCCGACGGCGGCGGCCGGCGCGCGCCAGCTGGCGCAACTATCCGAACGTATCTATGTATGTACTACCTGATTTAGCGAGGATTTTTTTAGGTGAATTTTTACTCGTTTAGTGGATGGCGCGCCGCGCCGCACGCGTGTTGTCGTGGGTGTCCAGTTTTTGGTGTTACGATAAACGCAATGTAAATTTATCGATATGACATTAAACATTTTTGGCTTATTGTTCGTATTATTGAGTTGTTATTCCACATTGATAGCTGATAAGTGAGATTGAAATAAACAGACCCTACGTTTAATTCCAAATTGAAAATATTGTAGGCATTTTATTTATTATACATATGTTCTATCAAAAACTGATTATGCCGAACGCTTCTCTCCTTGCATGATCCCATTCATGTATAATAAAATTTGCAAAATTTGCATCCTAAAGAACTGTACCCTAAAAGAAACAAAATTAAAAGTATATAAATAATAATAAAGTATATAGTAAGTAAATCTATTAATGTAATGTGTTAATCATATAAATGAAAATACTTTTCACATACATACAAAAACACGAACACACACACACACAAACACACACACACACACATACACACACACACACAACACACATAACACTAACACTCTAACACACTAACACACTAACGCACTAACGCACTAACGCACTAACGCACTAACGCACTAACGCACTAACGCACTAACGCAATAACACACTAACGCACTAACGCACTAACGCACTAACGCACTAACGCACTAACGCACTAACGCACTAACGCACTAACGCACTAACGCACTAACGCACTAACGCACTAACGCACTAACACACACACACACACACACTAACGCACTAACGCACTAACGCACTAACGCACTAACACACACACACACACACACACACACACACACACACACACACACACACACACACACACACACACACACACACACAAACACTCCACACTCACGCATCCACACACGCGCATACATAATACTAATACATACATATGTATTAGTGGTGAGATCTAAATGAAATAATTGCATTATACAATTTAGTTAAACAATCGTTAGTGCTACTAAAAAGCTTATGTTTAATCTCTGTATGCATGCATGTATTTTTTTTTACAACACAGGGGGCAAACCTGATGGTAAGTGACTACCGCCACCCATAATCACCCACAACACTAGAGGCATTGCAGGTGTGCTGTCGGCCTTTTAAAAAGGAATATGCTCTTTTCTTAAAGGTTATGTTGTCGTATCGGTTCGGAAATACTGCTGCTGGAAGTTGATTCCAAAGAATGGTTGTGCGTGGAATAAAGTGCCTTGAAAAACGCACGGTGGAGGACCGCCACTCGTCCAGTGTAGGAATCAATGATAAATTCTGTGCGTATTCAAACATACTTTGTTAAATAAATACATATTTATCTTTATCTATCAACAATCGATTTCATGTTCGGGCAAAGCACCAAAAAATAATTAAGTTAAAAATCTCGCAAGGTTGATCCGGCTCGAAGGACTAACCTCCCTCTTCTATCATATCTGACTAATATATGAGCGTTTTTCGTATGGTGATGGAGCAAAATACGATACATCAGGGGGGAAAGGGATTGTTATTAATGGAGACTGAGAATCCCATTGCTAGCAATATAACCAACCAGGTCCACCTCCTCGCGGTTCTCCCTGGAAACTATCATGGTTAATTCCCGATGAATTCATCATAATGGGCTAACTGGCCTGTTTTCATTCTCATCTATCACCCTTCACTGGTGCTCCGCCAGCGTATCCCGTTAGCGCAGGCGGGGTTACCATACCATTTTCACCCATCAAAAAAAAATACGATACACCATTAAATATATTCATCCCGAGAACATCGTAAGGAGCGGCTGTAAGTACACAGCAGACATAATTGCTTTTATTATGTATGTAAACGTAATTGGTTATCAAATAATAGTACATACGTGAGTCCATCAATGCCTAGTTGTGACCAAAGTTTGTATAGTACTTTTCTCAAACAATGCGCGGAAATCAAAAACACAATTTTACTTTTTAAATTCAATGACGAATAACGAACAATAATAATTTTTCACGCGCCATAATGTTCCTTTCGTTTTTTTTTTTCAATAAACAGCTTTCTATTTGCAAGCCAGTTCGAAATTTAAATAAAATCTTTTATTAGTTACTTCCTTGGTAGGCATGTTTCGAAGTAAAAGGTCATTCCATTTTTAAATTACAGCACAGATATGAGTTTACATAGTAATTTATCTGGCCGCAAAACACGACAGATATGGATTTTCATACAACTTTTGCCGGCCGCTGCCCGCATGTATCTGGCCAGTACGGCATTTTCGATTTATCTCGAAGAAGATTGTCAAAATAATGCTTACATTTCCAAGCATGTTTGAGAAAAGTATATAAATTTAGGTAAAATAGTCAATAAATTTCTTTATTTCCTTCTTTCTTTCCTTCTTTCTGTCTTTATTTCTTTCTTTTGGTACCAAAATGAGTATAAAAAGTATTTTTGCCCCTTCCATTCTGCTTCAATATGATTGAAATATGACTGATGTTCGTATGGTGAAATAGTTACAATACAATTGTTAAATTATTTTTTAATCTAATATTGACACCTGGCTGTGTTTGTATATTTTTATTTTTCTATGTATATCAATCCAGCTATCTTACAGTACTGGGCCCATAACCTCTTGAAAAGGAATGGTAATATAATTTAGGGGAATAATTGAAAAATTATTTGTAGGCTTAAAAAAAGAAAAAAAAATACGAATGCAATACTCATAGTAATTTTAATAATCATTTCAGCCATTTTCCGTCCACTAGTGGACATAGGTCTCCCCCATAGACTGCCATAAAGAACAGTTCTGAGCCACCTGCATCCACTGACTCTCTGCAAGGCATTTGAGGTCGTCACTCCATATAGTGTGGGGGCGTCTCACACTACGTTTGTCCATACGGGGTCACCACTTAAAAACATTTGTTATTTGTTTAATATATATAGGAAAGGAAATGATACAAAATAGCTCGATATTAATATCGGCTTAGAAAAAGGTTTAACATAAATATATCTTTATTTTTTTTATGGGTGATAATGGAATGGTCACCCCGCCTGCGTTATCGGTATACGCTGGCGGGGCACCAGTGAGAAATGATTGGTGAGGATGAAAAGGCAGGTCAGTTAGCCCATCATGACGAATTCAACGATAAATTAGTCACGATGGTTTCCAGAATAAAAGAAGGTAAACCAAGGTGGTAATACTAGGCTAATGTCCTATGGGAAGAGATCCACGCCATTACAGCGGCACGTTAATGAGTTCTACACGTAATGGTACGTATATTTTATAGATACCATAAAAAAAAAATACATAATGGAATCGATTATAACTGGAACCAATCTAACAAAGTACGTGAGTCCATTACGCCGTGCCCCATGATTGATGGCACTGTACCCCATCGCGGGTGCTCCTGCAAGTACACAAAATGACACTTGCGCAGAGCAGCGAGTCATTATTCGTAATAATAGAATGATTATTGTATATTTTTTTTATTATTATATCATTTTTAATAATATTATAAATGTGACATCGAGTTTGTTTTTATAAATTATTAAAAATACTCTGTTTTTCTCCATTAAGAGGGATTTTACTGACCAGAGGGAGAGTTTGTACAAAAGTCGATTGCTTGGACACCTCTCTCCCATTCGTGTTTCAACCGTGAAACAGTTGTGTTTGCATGGCTGTGTTTCGGTTTGAAGGGTGGGATATGGCAGTGAATTTACAGAGTACAGAGAAATAACACCTGAGTCCTCAGGAATGACAACGCATGGGGGATATCATGGGCGAAACAGTATACTCTGTTATGTCCACGGTACTGCTCATGTGTATAGGCGACCGTTACTACTTTCAATCAGGTGGGCCGTCGGCTTGGTTGCCATTCTAAGTTGTATAAAAAAAATGTCAATATAGCAATATCAACCTGAATATGAACTCATTATTTTCAATATAAAATATGTAGGCTTGCTTGAAAATATAAAAAATGGCGGTAGCCAAAAAATTCTCTCCACCCATTTCGAAGTCGTTCGAAAAGTAATATCGACTTATTGCACACATAATTAAACTCGAAATCCGAAGCGTGTCGGTCGAGGGTCGGCCGACCCTTATTGAGGCTAATGGGTATTGTATTTTCAATTATCAATTTATCACCGGCCGAAACACGCTGAAAGGGCCGCCTCTATTTAATGGACAGCCCTAGTTTTTGATGCATATCGTAGGGTTGGCTATTTCAATGATCCTACTTTTTTTTTATACCACTGTGGTAGCAAACAAGTATACGGTCCACCTGATGGTAAGTGGTTACCGTAGCCTATGAACACCTGCAACACCAGAGGTATTACGCGTGCGTTGCCGACCCTGAAGAAACCTCTTTACTCCCCTTTTGAATAACCCCATGCTGCAGTCTCTTGGGAAAACATCGGCAGGGAGCTCATTCCACAACCTGAGTGTTCGTGGGAGGAAACATCTCTGAAACCGCGCAGTACGCGACCATTGAGGCTGTAGGACATGAGGATGAACTCCCTGTCGGTGGCGAGCCGTACGATGGTAGAAAGTGGCTAAGTACAAAATTGTTTTAATTTATTTATTGGATCACAGTTGCGACTTTTTCTGACAACCCTGAGAGTTAAGGCTCGAGTATTATTTCTAGCACTAACAAACTGAAACTTTGGTACTACTTTTAACCCGTAACTGGGGTTTATTGAATGGCCGCAATATACAGCAGTCTCTACCAGTTGTAGTTCTCCGTAGCAAATAACTTTTTTTATACAACTTAGAATGGCAAACAAGCTAACGGCCCACCTGATGGAAAGTAGTAACCATCGCCTATAGACATGAGCAGTACCATGGACATAACAGAGTACACTGTTTCGCCCACGATACCCCCCATGCGTTGCCATTCCTGAGAACTCAGGTGTTATTCCTCTGTACCCAGTAAATTTACGCCATATCCCACCCTTCAAACCGAAACACAGCTATGCAAACACAACTGCTTCACGGTTGTAACACGAATGAGACAGAGGTACTCAAGCAATCAACTTTTGTACAAAGTCTCCCTCTGGCAAATAACTTATTCCATGATTACTGGTTTAACCATTAAAGTAAGGGTGTAAAGGGATTGTTAGTAAAGAAGTCTAATAACACCATTGGTAGCAATATACTCTCTCAGGTCGACCTCCAAACGGTTCCCCGTCGGAAACCATCGTGGTTAATTCTTGTCGAACTCACCATAGTGGGCTAACTGACTTACTTTTATAGTCACCTTTCATCCCTCACTGGTGCCCCGCCAGCGTATACCGATAGCGCTGGCGGGGTTACGAATACCATTCCTTACTAAAAAAACTTATTAAAAAAAAATCGTTAAAGCACCAAGGGGTGACAATTGAAGGATGGGATAAACTCATCTATAGCGGTGGCAGACAACAGGCAAGACTCATTATGGGTGCCCTAACTGGACATATGCCAATAAGGCATATACTACACAAGATGGGTGTATCTTCGGACACACTGTGCAGACTGTGCGGGGAGAAATCGGAATCCATGGAACACTTGATGTGCAACTGCGATTCGTTAGCGAGCATGCGCATGAGTCTACTGGGAACGGCTTATCCAAAGCCAGGGGACTACAGATATCTTAAACCGCGAGATATCGTTAAGGTAACACAAACCTATCTATCTATCCATTTAAGAACTGCGCTCTTGTCGGTGGAGCTCTTGCCACTCACTACGATTTTCAGCGAGTCTCTTCGCCTCTTGATACGACACGACACCAACTCCTTCCTTGATCTGCCTGATGTAACTATGTCTCGGTCTCCCTCTCCCCCTTCTTCCTTCTATCTTACCTTCTATTATAATGTTCATAAGTTCGTCGTGTCGTATCAAGTGTCCTAACATTTTTCCCCTAACACAAAGGATCTATAAAATGATGGTAAAAGCACAAAAGATCCCGATGGGTCGACGTGCAACGGCTTTGCTGACCCCATATGCGAATATAAGATAAGATAAAAGGCATGACAAGCTCATATTGATATTATTAGTGAGGAATTAAGGTTTTTTATAAATATATACTGGGGGGTTTAACCCCCAATAGGGGGAGAGGGATGTGTGCAGCAGCAGACAGTTAACTATCACCCATTATCATCATCATCATATTAGCCTTTAACTGTCCACTGCTGGACTTAAGTTTTCCCCATTTTTTAAGAGCTTCTGTCTATTTCTCGCCCTCTCTCAGTCCGCTCTTACGACACCCACGGTATAGGAAGGGGTGGCCTATTCTATGCCGGGACCACACGGCCAGTTAATCACTAATATAATAAATAGATTTTTGGCAATCCATAATAAAATAGGTACTTTTGATAGAGTTATGGAAAAGTGAACGAATCTATTGATAGATATGTAATCGCTACCGCATATGGAATAGAACGAGATTGCAATGTGCAGCGTTGGTTTTGTTTAAAAAATAGGATTTAAAAAACTAATATGCAAAATGTCTACACGAACCGTGTGCTGCCATCTAGTGAACAAATAAAGTAACTGTAAATTATTTAAACGATTCATTCACTGAACTTGGTTTTATTTGATATAATAATGTTTTATATTTAAGATAGTTTAACAGAAATACTGTAACAAATTGTTTATAAGAAAAATTCAAAATCTATCGTTTTGTTACTTTTAGATACTTTTTCCTTTACCACGCCATCTAACGTGGAGTAGTTAAACTATATCTTAACTAAAAGTTTGCTTAGCAGATGAGAGCTTACGACGAGCTTTTGTCAAAACATTTTTGTCATGAAATACAAAAACAAAATTTGAAGTTAATTTATTATTATTAAATACCCTACATTAAATTTTTTGTCTTCACGTTACCAGATTACGTTCAGCAATGTCATATTGTTATTATTTAAAATTATGGTTGTTAAATAGCAAAAAGCTCAGTTTGGGGTTTTGTTTGTTTTGTTGTTAGCGGTAAGTTCAGGGTAGTGACCGACTCGGGCGAACTCGCTTTAGGCCCCTGTCAGTTAGTGGCAGTTGTTTTCTGTCCGTTAGTGGTATTACGCGCGCTGTACCTTCAGAGTTCCTTCGATCTTAAACACGCTAGTGGAATTCAAAACCGAAATATTATTAATGAAACATTAATCGTTTTGTGTGTGTTTTTTTTTAATTATATTTTAATATTTTGTGTATCATTAACAAAGTACTTAAATAGAAAGATTACTTTTTGGTGTTTTTAATATTTTTTTTTTTTAAGTTTTCTCAGACCCTCGTTTTCTGTGGTAATGTGTGGTGTTGTGTGATGGTGTAGAATGTGGCGTCGGTGGTTGGTGATGGCACTGCTGGTGGCGGTCGCCGCTGGTAAGGGCAAGAAGCATCGCCATCAGAAGCCTGGTGAGTTACAACTGTAACTCTACTATCAAACTGGTTTTTTCTATTGTGTTTAAAATAGACTATAACTTAATTACGAATAGAAATTTTTAAATAAATTTTCAGACCATCTTTTTAATAATACATATGAAGAATATTATAAAAAATATGGAGGGTTTTTTTAAGTACATTAAAATTAAGTATATTAAAAATAATATTTTTATTTAATAATATTAATATTAATTAATTAAATTAACTAAACTTAGTTAAATTAAATTAACTAAACTTAGTTAAATTAAATTAATTAAACTTAATTAAATTAAATTAATTAAACTTAATTAAATTAAATTAATTAAACTTAATTAAATTAAATTAATTAAACTTAATTTCATTAAATTAATTAAATGAATTTAATAAAATTTATTAAAACAATTATTATTAATAATATTAAAATATAATTTTTTAATATTAATAAAATTTAAATAACTTATACAAAAAAATCTCGAAACTTAAACTTTGTAATAGTATTACATAATTATAATATTATTTAAAAATGGTAATTTAATTTAATTATCTACAATAAATGTAATGACTAACATATATTTACAATGTACACTGTAAACTAAACAAGCATATAGCCCATCTAGGTTTATGCCCAAAAAGTGTTTGCAGATTTCGTCACGATGTGGAAGAAATGCCGTAGCACTTAATTTGAGGCATACATAAACACTCATACATAAACGATATATATCCTTTGGAAAACACACTCTATATTCTGAGGAGATAAAAAAAACATCACTACAAAAAACATCTTAATATGCCTATCAGTGATAGGAATTAGCAGCGAAAGATCATGGAAAGATCGCAGTAACACAGGTTTCTCCTCCTGAAAAAGTTAAATTCAATGACGAATTACGAACAATAATAGTTTTTCACGCGCCATAATGTTCCTGTCTTTTTTTTTTCAATAAATAGCTTTCTATTTTCAAGCCAGTTCGAAATTTAAATAAAACCTTGTATTAGTTACCTCCTTGGTAGCCATGTTTCGAAGTAAAAGGTCATTCTATTTTTAAATTACAGGACAGATATGAGTTTACATAGTAATTTATCTGGCCGCAAAACACGACAGATATGGATTTTCATACAACTTTTGCCGGCCGCTGCCCGCATGTATCTGGCCAGTACGGCATTTTCGATTTATCTCGAAGAAGATTGTCAAAACTATGCTCACATTTCGAAGCATGTTTGAGAAAAAAATATTTAAGGGTGCGTCCATAGATGTGATATCCATTGGATGTCACACCATTCCGGTTTGCCCTGTTTACGGTGGGGTTAGAAAAGGGAGCCCATAAGACCTTATACTTACATCATTATCACCATGGACAAACGTAGTTCCGAGAAATGTAAAGAATGCGGGCGGTACGTGAGGCAGCCACCGGACACCTATGGTTCCTGGTTGGCACTACAGTACCGATGCAAAAGTATTTTTTTAATTTATTTTTATACAAAGACTAACTGACTCGGCAAACGTTGTTTTACCATATATATTATTTTTAAAACTGTACATGAAAATGTATCGTACTACAATTATAATATTCGATTGCCATCTTGCAACCCTATTGCGGTATATAAAAATCGCGATTAAAAAAATAGGCGTTGATCGTAAAAGGTTGAAAATTTGAAGTTGTATGTATTTTTCAATGCTAAATTATAATAAAAAGAAAAAAAAAAAATATATATATATATATATATATATATATATATATATATATATATATATATATATATATATATATATATATATATATTTAGGAGTGGTTTAGTTACCCTTATCATTGAGGGGTATGAAAAATAGATGTTGCCCGATTCTCAGACCCACCCGATGTGCATATTGAAATTTCATAAAAATCGGTAAAGCCATTTCGGAGGAGTTTTGTAACAAACACTGCGACACGAGAATTTTATATATGTATTAGATAAAAAAAAAATTATATGTATCTGTGTAGGTATGTGTGACGGCAAAACCACAGTTTTAACTGTGTAGTGCCGGCATAGAATAAAATATATAATGTATACCGCTGTACGTTTTTCAAACAGAGTCTGATAATCCATTAAGCAGTGCAAGCAACTGCCTATGCGTCCGGCAATTAGTATTTTAAAAACTGTATTTACATTGTATGTCTCCAATGAACTTTGTATTATTAAACTTTCTCGAACCCTTTGTTTTAGTATTAAAAAGATCTATGTTCGAATCAAATGAGAAAATCAATTTGTTTTTTCTATAATTAATATGTATAACTAGCAGTTGACGGGGGGAAAGGGATTGTTAGCAATGGAGTTTGACAGCCTCATTGCTAGCAATATGCCTTATTACGTCGACCTCCACGTGGTTATCCCTGGAAACCATCGTGAACATTTCTTCTTGAATTCGTCACGATGAGCTAACTGACCTGCTTCATCCTCACCTATCATCCTTCACTGGTGCCCCGCCGGTGTATACCGATAGCGCAGGTGGGGTTACCATTCCATAATCATCCATTAATAACAAAAAAAAAACTAGCAGTTGACGGTTTACGTTTATTTATTCATTTAATTTATTACTTCGTCTTTTCCATCCACTAATTAAGACAAAATAAATCAAAATTCAATTTTTTACTTTATATACATTAGGTTCATTATTTATATTACTTTATTCTTAATAAGGTCGTATAGAATTTCATAGTGGAAAATTGTCTTTTGAAACCAAATACCGAAATGGTTCATATGCACCGTTGGTTGGGCGAGGTATACTAAAATGGAAGACTCATCTTCAGGTTATTATAGGTATTCCATTTCAATAGAACTTAATAAAAAGGTAAGCTAGTTTTGTTCAAATTATTATAGAAATGCTTTTTTTCGAACACAGGCGGCAATCGGGGCTTTCCAAATTATATAATATTATATTACTATCGAATTGAAGTATTCAGTCAAATAATATTTACTAATATACATACATAAAAAATATATTTCATATTTTGGAAATATTTAAATAAATATATTTTTTTTATTTCTTTTATTCACTATTTATTTTATTTCACTTATTTATTTATTTATTCATTAGTACAAATATGTGTACATGGCGGACTTAATGCTAAAAGCATTCTCTCCCAGTCAACCATAGGGAAGTGTCAGAATACTCGAATGCGGTATTACTAATTATTGATATACATACATACTAAAATTACATATATAAACGAATAAATATATATAAATAACAAATATACTTACACATATATGACATATACTATATTATACACGAAATTGAGAATAATATAAAGCACTTACTGCTCGGATAAAAATGAAAAGTGAGCGTGAACGCTTTTTTTGAAAGACGGTTTAGTATAGCATTTAGTATAGCAAATAAGCTAAAGCTAAAGGAAAGAGGTAACCGTTGCCTATGGATATTGTAAAGTTTTAGTATCTGTGTAAACTGTTAGTAGCATCATCAGAATTGATATATGTCATTCAATTGACATTTTGACATTGACACATTACTTGACAAGTAAAGAGTATAGAATATGTCGACGACTAGTAAGAATTATAATACATGTTTGATTCGAAGTTATAAAAGTAAATGTAATGTGTTTACTTAATCTGACGATAAAAGAAGCTACAGACATGAACAGTACAATGGACACCACAATACCTTTTTACGCTTATAGTGCCATGGGTATGCTTATGCGTTGCCATTCCTGATCACTAAGGTGTTATGTCTCCGTACTCGATAATTTCATAGCAGGAGATTTCGACTAATGACATAGATGGACTGTGTGATAGATGATCTGGCCAGAATGAGAGTGGATACAGAAATGATTGCAAATAGAGAAGAATGGAGGTGAAAAACATAATACGCCGATCCTAAATAACAATTGGGGTAAAGAGTAGGAAGATATTGCTGATGACTAGTGAACTAAATGGTAAAAACAGTGATGGTCAATCTTTGAGAGTGGGGAGGTACATATTGTTAACAATGACGAGTTAGTCCTCTTTTCTAGCAATATAGCCCGTCAAGTCGACCTCCAGATGGTCCTCCCTGGAAACCGTCGTGCCGAATTCCAGGTGTATTTATCACGATGAACTAACTGACCTGACATTTCATCCTCACCTATCATCTCTTCCTGGTACCCCGTTATCGTATACCGTTAGCGCAGGCGGGGTTACCATTCCATTAAAAAAAAATCTTCGAGAGTTGGCAGTCACGCACATACTAATGGTAACGGAATTAATCGAAATAATTCTAATATCAAAGAATAACTAATATAATATTTAGATAATTAACTATCTAAACTATAATAATGGCGGATTAATGAATTCGTCAAAACCATCAGGCAGGCTATAATTTGCTCCCAAACGATAGTATCATAGTGATTTATCGATCGTTACCGCTCTGTAAATGCCGCAGAAACATAAATTTCACAATTTTAACTTGTTACACTGAGTACACGCTTTCATAGGTTAAGTGGGTTATTAGTTTAATGCGACATGATGGATGTGACCCTAATTTGTGTGAAATATTGACACATTGAGTGCAAACATAGTTAAAAAAAAAATTTTAGCAACCGACTTCATAATCGAGGTACTTGATTTTTTTTATGCAACTTAGAATGGCAAACAAGCTGACGGTCCACCTGATGGAAAGTGGTAACCGTCGCCTATAGACATGAGCAGTACCATGGACATAACAGAGTATACTGTTTCGCCCATGATAACCCCCATGCGTTGCCATTCCTGAGGACTCGGGTGTTATTCCTCCGTACCCTGTAAATTCACGCCATATCCCACCCTTCAAACTGAAACACAGCCATGCAAACACAACTGCTTCACTGTTGAAACACGAATGGGACCGAGGTACCCAAGCAATCGACTTTTATACAAAGTCCGATGTACGAGTACAGGTAAGTTTTAATTTAGGTTTCAATAAATAAATACACCCGTGAACTGTACCCGATGACATTTTTTAAATTACTATTATTATTCAATACATT